TGGGAATCTCAAGGATATAAGGGTTCGATAAGGTAGACAGGGTGGACCGGATATTGGTATTTATTGGGAGGAAATTATTGTTCACCGATAAATAAATACCCATAGAATCTCTCAGCTGCAATTTATCGTGCGGTTTGCGCCTCTCAACATCGCACAGCAAGTCCCTGTCCACTCTAAACACTTAAAAATTGCCCCAAAATCTCCCCAAAGATGTTTTGCGAGGCCCTCCTGGAAAATTAGAGCGGAGAAAATTCTAATGTAGAACGCGTCTAGCCTCCGTGAGAAGACCTCTTTCGCCATTACCTGTCGTGGCGTGACAGAAAGGGTCTCCAACACTTGCCGCATTAAATATCAATGCTGGCTGAAGCGAGTACAGAGAGCGAGTTATGAAAGTCGAGTTACATTATATTTCTTTGAGATTAAAAATAGAGATATCGCTCGCGAAGTGAACTCTGAAGAATCTCTTGGTTGCTTGAGAGTCTCTCCTTGTGCAGAAGTGCTAAAGTATTTCACAAAATATGTATGTACATAGGGAAGCGTGAAAGACCTCTTTTATATAGCAATTTCAACTCCTCGCAACAATACGAAAGCTGATGCGTCTTATTTAGGAGCGAGAGCCTCACTTTCTGCGCATAGCATTCATGAAATATGTGGCAAGTTGTGCGGAAAAGTTATAATTGAAATCAAACGGTTTCACGTGGTGAAGAGAGCTGATTGCAAACGTGGAAGTACTACTAAAATATTACATGCCGACCGCCGCCCTTCGGGTGACCCAGAAAAAAATAAACTTTCGCATTAGATTTTCGTAAAAATAATTATTTTCTCTATAACAGCGATGAAATTTCATTCGGCCGCACATACGAAGGACGTTCTTGTAATATTCTCTCCTCCAGACATTCTGATTAAAACACAAGGAAGTTTTGCAAGAAAACTTTTCCTAATTATACATATTTTCCCAATTGGAAATTATTAGAAAAGAGAGAAATGGGAATTTTTCCCACATCTCCAACCCAAAAACCCAATGGCACGCACGAGATTCTTGGATTTATTAATTTTCTTGTTTTATCAAAACTCTTTAGCATAATTTACAACTTTCTTCATTCCCAGACTTGGAGTGTTTCTAACTTCCTTTGCAGTATTATTGAAAGATAGGTATGTAAATATGTACTCAATAAGTTTGAAAAGATATTTGATACCATCGTACAAACTTTTTAGTGCAACTTCGCCGTGACTTTTTGTGAAATTTTTTTCCAGGATCTTTTATGAATTTAGAGAGTTATAGAAAGTATACTTGAAGCTCTATTTAACTGGGAGGAAGAAAAAACAGAACTATCAGAGAATGAAAGTTTATGTTCGTTTGAAAGGGGCAAATGCAATTAAAGCACTAAAATTTAAAATTTATTGACCATATTAATATTTTTCGCTTAAAATACGCTAAAATAGGAGATAATAATATAAATTATAGAGCATTTATAATACAATTTAATAGAAATAAGTGTTTGCAAAACAGCCAGACTCGATGGCAAAGCATATACTTATCATCTTAAATACGTAATGAATTGCAGAAGGTGGAAATTCCTTATGAAATATGAAATGCTCCTCATTCGACTGTATCGCGTAAAGTCAAATGAAATGCAAGTGCCACCCAAGAGGAGACATTATAGAGTTAAAAGAAGTATGCAGAGAATAAAAACGTGCACATTTGAAATAATATTTAAGGAGAATATGTAAATGTTTATGAAGCGACAAGAGTGCAATTTCACTTTGCCATTCTGCACGGGCGCGCGTACACAAAATATCACCATCTTTTCTCCTTCGCGCAACCCATATTTATTAAATTCACTGAGTACACCCGCCCGCACATTTCAATGCAAATAGTTTCCGGTTGTTTGCAAAACAAAACATTGCCGGTTATGGAAGAAGTGGAGCCAGCAGGATAATTGAAGCTATACAGAAATGTACTGCAAGAGTAGAAATCGGGCACGGAAAACGCGACCGGAATTTGTTTTGTGTTTTTGGGGAAGAATTTACAAAATCCAGTTGCTACTTTCCGCACGTGTAACGCTGTCTAATGACGGATTAACACAATTTGCCCTTAGTGATAAATTTGCACTTTATATGCTTTTAAAGTGGCTCAAGATAGAATTGTTTTCTCAGACACTGTAGTTTATCTATTCATTAAATCAGAAAAGTATAGTTTTAAATTTGAAAATAAAATGCATTTTTGAAAATGATTATCACCAAAATATTCACAAGCGTCACACATTTGCAAAGGAGCACATTTTTTGCGTTTGCTATTTGACTCAATCAGAGTAGAGACAAACTTCATATTTGCCACTTAGACTAAATATGAAGCTATGGCAAAAGTACAATTTGAATATTAATAAAAGTTCACCCGATATGTGCGGTGGAAAAAGTTTTCACCTTTTCTCTAAGTAGAAGTTTTCATCACTTGAAACTTTCCCCACATTCAGATGATGTATGAATTCGTATTGTGGCGCATTTGAAGAGATGTTTGATCGTTTCAAGTTGACGATGGAAAAGTTTTGCCAAACGGAAATGAGTAAGTACGGTATAAATGTGGAAAAATTAAAGTTGTAGGATTAGTTGAAAGTGGACACATGGTTTGCTGGAAAAATCAGGAGGGCGTTAGTTGGATTGCATATATGTATAAATCGCAGGTAATCTGCATATGCGAACATGATGGGGCGCTTTGATGTGCGAGGATGCAGCAACATAGAGGAATTAGGGAGCAAATTGGGAGGAATATCTCGTTGAAATGCTACTCTTTTTTCTGGGTAAAACAGCATTAATCACTTAGATGAAAGGCCACGGTGAAGAGTAAACGCTGAGGATTAGAGGATGGCATTGGATGAAAAAAAAACATAGCAGAAAACAGGAGGTATTTGAACCTTTGTATCCTCATGGAGGTGGCTTTCGATTTAGTGTTATTAATGAAATGGTCAGGGTGAAAAGTCAACGATAATTGTATACATTGGGACACATATAATGACTCCTCAATTCAGGGGCGATTGGAAATTAATCATTGTGTGTCAGCTTATGGCGATTGGGGATGACAGCTTAATTTCTTTACAACCCTCCCACTCGGTTGCATGGCAAATCAAAGAAGTATGAACAAGTGCCTCTCTTACCCTCCCAACATAAGATATTTACCGAGAAACTTACTCCCTTGCCCAGGAACTAACCGCACATCCTTCATTAAACATTAGACTGAAGGAGATGATGTGTACAGTAGTTTAACAATGTGGCTTCGGATCTTAACACAATAACGAGACTTTGATAAGCTGTCCTCGTGCCTTTTACCCTCAACCATTTATGGTTATACTGTACATATATCATAAAATAACCAGCTCCTTTTGTGATACATTGAATATATGCGTAGAGCATAATAAACCTAATAAAGTTGGCTTGATTGAAATTACATTATATTGCTATGTGCCTCAGACGCCAACTCACCCCATTTGAATGGATTTGCACCAGACAAAGTTGGATTCGAATCCAATTTCCGGTCTACTGACACCGTAAGTGGGCACATATTTCTGCATAACATCGACCTGAGGGGACTGACGAGGGTCAGCCCGGAAAGGATTCCCTACAACTTCCTAACAGTCAATACTCCCATTATTCACTAATTAGCATATTTCAGTTGAAAAGGCTGCAAAGCGCTTCATCCGCTGCAAAAATTTTCCCCAAAACGAAAAATCCATTGCGGAGCAACTCTGTGGCACTTGTTGGCTTTCCAGCGGCGGCGAAACCGCAAAATAAAGTCTTTGGCAAGATTTTCGGGGATGTGCAAAATTCACCAGCCAAGCACGAAACGTATTGTTCTCCAGTCTATTTTCATTCTTGCATCAACTTGACTGCTTGAGGCTGTACAAGTTGACTAATTATAATGGAGGCGTAGCGAATATGAATTAGGGTGGATAAAAAATACATGACTCTTGTCAACTTGAATGTTTATGAAGAGGCCTCGGGAGAGTGGCACGGGAGAAAGGTGGAACACTGGAACGTGATGTGTGCGAATCCACAGAGATAATCTAACCAACGAGTACTTAAGCTTTTTAAATCTCATCCCAACATAATCTCGCATCCTCTCCACTCTGTGATTCTCCTGAAAGCACGCTGGGCTGTATAGTCTGCTCCACCATGGAGAAGAACTCCAAATATGAAATATCAGCAGTGGAAAAAATCACGAGGAGACACAATGGCCTCCAATGAGGCTACTTACGGCGGAAAAAAATGTTCTCGCTGTCGAGTGAGAGATCCTTCAGCTTCTTAGAAATCTAATTAGAAAAAGCTGACTGTGCGTGGGGAATTTCATATCAATCCCGTGAGTTTTCCATCATTATGTACATTTTGCATGATTTCCCGGCTCGGATTGCGAGGCACTCTCAGCTGCACTGAGCTCTTGCAGTTTGACTCTGAAAGCTCTCTTTAACCTCTGGAGCACGCACAAATCATTAGGAATTTTCTCCCTGTCAAGAGGACGTGCAAGAATATGAGAATTCTTCAATGGACTGCAGAGGGCTATTTAGCTCAAGATGCCATTTTCTGCACAATAGAGCGAGCGAGAGAAAGAGAGAGTCAAAGACCTTGATTTCAGCAAAGAGAATAGATGTTTTAAATCGCAAAGTGCTCGCTTGGGATCATTTCAGAAGGCACTAAACCCGCAAATGTCTCATTCTCAGTCACAAATAAGAAAAATTATGTGGCTTCTCGCGCATTGGGTTTGGTGTTGGCAAGAGGCAGAGTTCGATTTTTATCGACATTTGCCCCATGGTGATGTCTATGGAAACACCGTTGAGTCAGCCTACGAAAATCCCATAAAAATAGTCATATTTCCATCACTGGAGAAAATATGAATGAAGGTGCACCATAAAATCGCACTTCTTTTACGATCGCTCAATATCATTTCGGTGAACGTCTAAAGAGGTGTATGTTTATTCAAAAGGCAGGGGGCGACAAGCTACTATACTTACTTTAATTGACAATAAAACGTATCGAGCCCAGAAGTCAGGAGCAGGAGTTCCTCAGCAGTGAATAAATTCACTCTCGAGAGCACCTGAAGAGAAAGAGAAATTACGAAATTGTAATTTATGTTTTGCAGCACAGTGTACTCTTTGATTTTAATTGCATTGAATTTAAAAGCACTTTTTCCATTCATCGCGAGAGCGCATATTTGGAGACGGCAACTTAATTCTATTATGCGGCGACCGATGCAATTGTTGTAACTCAATATTTGCAAAAGACATTTTTATGGAAACCATATTTGCGATGGAATATACCACGCTCTCTCGTCGAAATTGCATTGTCACACTGACAATAGACAATAAGAATATATTCACATAAATTGCTCTTTAACACACAAGGATTTCACATAAATCCGAATATGTCTCTTGTTCTGTATTGCGAGGAACTACACATGCAAATATACTTTTTCCATGATACATATGAATAACAAATAAAACCGTTGATATGTCACAGAACAATCGGAAAGAAGAGGAGACTTTTTATTTAAAAGTACACATATAAGAAAATTTTATTGCATGCTACACACTGAACAAAATCCATTTAGAATTAGAATCCATAGGGAGTTGGAGGAGGAGTTCGCACACAAATGTAGTGCAATTGAAACATTTTTAAAATAAACATCACATTTGAGGTGGAATGCACAAGAAATGGCATTACATGCACGATAGAAAAGACGATGGGATTTCCTTTGAAAGACTATCTCAAAGGAATACAATTGTGCACTCTGTGAAAAATTTAGTAAGGAGAGGTTTTAGGGACTTCATCACTGAACTCCACACAGTGTTGCATAAAAGGATAATCTGTTTTTCAAATGTGAAAATACGTTCTATGTGTAGCTGAATCAACACTCAAAGTAAATTCTCCCGATCGCACTTTTTCTTCTGAGTGTACAGAGCGTTTGCAAAAAGTGTATGGATATATGGGACAATGGGAGGTTGGGTAAAAATCAAAATAATGTGGGTGGCTCCTATTATTTCCCATTTTGCTGGAAATACATCCACGTGACGATATGCATCGAGTTACTCGATATACGAGGTCATATCGTGTCTCTGTCACATTATCCTATCGTTAATCCATCTGAAGGGAGCAACACATCAATTGTCTGGCGTGCAATATAAATATATAAATACTTTGATTTATTCCTTTTTGCATGAGATACCCATATTCAATGCTCCCACATAGCCTCGACTTGAGCGCCGTCCGCCCGCCGCCCCGGCTAATGATAATTGCCCTGTCATTTAACACACTGAAGAGTAATTTCCTGGAAAACTTTCAAAGTCGCCCTCCCAATTCAAAGTGGTCCCATGAACAAAATATTTCTGAGGAGCTAATTGGTGGCGTGGAGGCACAATCATCTCTGATTAATAAGCAACACCCGATGAAGTGATATCGTGCAGACTCCATTTATTGTCGAAAAAGTCGTTAATATTGTTTTCCAAGAGGAGGTGAAATGTTAGGGTTTTCTTCTCAATACTTCAGACACTCAATTAAGGCTTGATATGTCACTTTAATTAAAATGCTCCAAAGCTATATCAGAAATGTCTCTCCTATTCAGCACCAAAAATTTTATCATGATTTGCTTTAAATGATACAATCATAGCCCCAAAATCTTGGTAGAACATCAGATTGCGTTATGGACCTATTTTATTTCAACAGAATTTTGACAAAATCATTTTCTATACTCAACATAAAAAACGGAGAAACTCCATGTGGAAAATTGATATGAATGGAATTAATTCCATTAGAACTATGTGCAGAAAAGCCATAAAATGTTATTTCACTGTACAGTGTATTTTCTAATCTAAATATTAATCACATAAAAAGGCAGAGAAAACTCTTCAGATTTAACATTTTTACTAAATAGACACCCATTCATATATATGGTACAAAAACAACGAGTACAAACTTTCAACCCAACATGTCTCATTTTTCCCAACTGTAATATTGATTGAATACTTGGATGTGTGTTACAAATTAAGTGTAATATAAGTACGAGCGTCGTCAGAGGCAAAACATCTCCTATTTCATTCCGCGATACTTCAATCAACACTAATTACAAATCTCCGAAAAGAGAGTGAGACATGAATCTGAACAGCGCGCATATCACTCGTACATTATCCAATGGTTGCATTTGCAATTGCCGCACACTTGCCTATACCAATGGCAAATTGATATTCAACTTTAATTGGAAAATTATGCAATTATACAGCGTAATCAGAAATATGCTGTGACTGGCTTGTTATATAGCTCACATGCAACTAATGCGAAAGGAAGTATCATACAGCTTGACTCGTGTAAAGTGATGTGATGATGATAGTGCTGAAAGTGGTGGAATTATTGCATATAGGAGTAAAACACTTGAAGATTTTATCGATTGCCTTCACATACAGCACATTGCTATATTTAGAGCCGACGCGCGATGGGAATAAAAAGGCGAGGCGGCGGTGAATTTAAAAATTTGCAAGAAATGTATCGCCTGTGGTGCTCCCGAGGGAGTAATATGTGAACTTACAGATGGTTCCGCCGCGTGTGAAATGTACTTGGCATTCGCAACAAATTTGTCGGTATAGCAGGGGGCGAGCAACTGAAGGGTAAACACCCACTTCATCGACACAAATATCAGGTGACAACAAACATATTCCCTTCAATTTCATAAAGAAATTTATTTACTTTCACATACCTCCCGAAGATATAAATGCCACATAATGAAATTACAATAAAAGGGGTGATAAATAACTCCCATATGGGTTTCCTGTGGAAAGTGAGGAGAGGCTCATGTTGAAATGTGAGGGTGAAACATTCGTTTGAAAGGTGGAAAAGTGATGAAACATTGAGTTATTTTCAAGAAATTATGCTGTGAAGAGTCCACTTTGCCCAGAGAAAATGCAGAAACATTGAAGAAATCATCACTCTGCTTATCTCATATCTATAATTTCCAATATGTTTCATTGTCCCTAAAGGAACGTGATTGCTGAGAAAGCGTTTCATGATATGAAAGCAATATGTTTCTTTGAGAATATCACCTTTCAAACAGCAAGAAACTCCCCTTTGAGATGCACTAAGATAATTGTGACGGAGAAATTCTTGTGAAAATCTCAGGAGTGTGCAATGAATATTTCGAAGCCTGGGTGAGATTCCTCGAGGGTAACAGGGAGGTTTTCTGGGAGATTAGTTTATGGAGCTGTGTGAGCATTATGGCAACGGGGAGACATATGATACATTCGGATTTAAATATTACGGGGTGAATTGCAGTGACTAAGCATTTCACATGAAGGGTTTCCCTCCTGGATCATTGGTGTCACTTACATGTGCTGTGAACTTGATGTTTTACACGGCTGAGAGGGAGTCACCTTGGCAGTAACCTCAACACTTTCCCCAAAGATTATATGAATTGCGCGAACAGAGTGAGTTTGTGAGTTGAATTTTTGGGACACAAAAGACTCATTTAATTCACCCCTGCAGTTTCCTTGTTCAGGTAACTTTTCACATTGCATCGTGTATCGTTAATTTTAATTTCCTCTTTCTCAACTCAATTTACCAACTTTGAAATTGCATTCGGCAAGGTGCATTTCCAAAAGAGCCACCGTGTGACACGGCACAGAGTCTAACAATAAAATTCATAACGTGATTTCCATGTACAATTGCTGGAGATTAGAGTGCATCTGAGAAAATGTCGACAAACACCCCCATTTGCAACATCTGTTGACTCTTATCGGGCGGTGAGAATTCCGCCAGACTGGAATTGTATAAACAAAGCCCAAATTATTTTGGCATTAGAAACCTCTGGACTGGAATCAAAAACCACCAGTCATGATTAATTTCGAATTTCAGCATCATATTCTAATCCAACTGCAAAATAATTCCAGTCATAGCGTCTCCCGCTCCAATGCTTTATTATAAGCCAATATCGATTAAACAGGGTGAAAGGAATCTTGTCACACTTTTCCCCAGTGAAACTTGTCTAATAAAATCATCTCAATATTCAGATTTAGCCACAATGCCAAATGCGATGCTGCACGAAATGCTATAAATCCGGGGCCATAAAATCTGGAGATACAAACCATAATTTGAGTGTATTTGCAAGCTATAAAATCGCTCTAAAACCGCAACAAACAACACCCCAAAAGTATTAGCAAATTACAGAAATTTGCAGCACGTGTTTAATGACTTTCCAATTGCTATTTTCAGCCGGTTAACTTGACATTGGACCCTCATCAAATTAACTCATTAGGCATATTTTCAGCTTTAGAATTTTTGGCAAATTTTTAACAAAAAATAGACGCGTCAATCGGTGTGTGAAGACTTTACGTCTAACCTCTTAGCGTATCATATATATATATATATATATATATATATAATCCTCTGAGACATCACGGTAATAAAGTTATTTTTTACACTGCTATTACATGTAATTAAATCCGTATTTTATGGTACAATGTAACGTTGCCTTACAATACTAATGTTGCATGCTTTTCGTCCCCACAACTGAGAATGGCGTCATAAATTTAATATGCATCATTTAAATTACCATTTTTGTTATACTCCCCCACAGAAGCATTTTTATGAAAATTTCAACCACTTTTCATTTTCTTGCCACTCTCATTAAACTGAGTCTGCTCAATTTTTCTAATGCTGCGCTCATTGTAATTAAATATTTCCCTCTCACATAATAGATCCCAGTGGGCTTGTATTAAAAAGAGCGCCACATTCTGGATATAGGGTTCAATCAAATAAAACCTTTTTGCACAAGTGACTTCAATAACTGGCACTAGTGTGAGTTTCAAAAGGAGAAAAAATGTATGAATGTTGTCAAAAGAATACAAAGCGACGAATGAGAGGAAAAGACTTCAAAGAATTTGTAGGATTTTGTTGGAGCTTTTCGCATCATTTTTTTTATACCCAGAGCCGTCTCACACTCGGAAATACAACATTTTCAGAGACGAACGTGAATTTTTGCGACGAGCATCCACTCGCCATAAAGCCATAAATGCAAGAAAATTGATTCGCCAAACAGGATCAGGGCGACAGAGA